ACGTGCATGTCATTGGACTGAACAAATGGTTGTAAGCTCAACAACAGACTGAAGGACAGTTTTGGAAAACTCTCGTGGAATCCTGTTATTGCAGACTATCGAATACAATGAATGCTTTCATCTCTGTGCTCAGCCTCAACCGTCAGTGACAGAGTGCCCAAGTGCTGCAGGAAGCCAAAGAAATACTACAGCCTTCAGCTCAGCTGGACGAAGCACCCGTGAGTTGATGTGAATAACTGTCGATCATGTCTGTATGCTTCTAGTCTAATTTTACTAGATATGATAAAAAGTTCTGGGACTTGTCCTAAAACCTTTTATCCCTCAGCTGTAAAAGGCTTTCGGGATGGTATCTTCACCCTGCTGGGTTTCCAGGTGATGTTGACACTCGAGTTTTTGGTTGCTATAGCTCGAGAACAAAGTGATGAAGGAGGTTTATCGCTGTGACGTGGCTTAATATAGCCTCACAACTGGAACTTAGAGTGGGCGCTTTCTGTGTGTGCACTCTCAGATTCAGCACCTCAGCCAGCTGCCATCTTGCCACCTGGCGTCCCACCTCGCCAAGCCATGCGACCCTGGGCTAAAGACCTTAGTCTTTATGAAGAATACAAAATGCGGAGGAGTGAGCTTCGTCGCCGAAACATGACAAAGCGCAGAGAACTGGAGAAATCGTTACCTCAACCGCTGCTGGCAGATCTGGTCAGTCCACCTCAAATTGTTGAGGACAGAAGGTTTCTGCATATTTATGTTAAAAAAGTGCCTCATTTATAAAGGCATCAGGTCAACCTGAAAAATAAAGGTGATTTTGTGTTGAAGGTGCGGGAGCGTCGAGAGAAGACCAGACTGAGGGTAGCCAGGTGGAGGGCAAAACGGAAACTCCAGGCCTGCCTTAACCAGATGCAGGTCGGTGATTCCACCACAGTCTCTGCACTCAGACATTTCTTTTGGAAATGGTCTGTTTCTTTCTCATGAATGAGATCTCCATCTCTCAGGGCTTAAAGTGGAAATTGATTAAAAACATTTGCATGGAGATTTTGGTGGTCAGTGAATAAAAACATTTTTGCAAACTATTTTTGACGTATTTCAGTAATATCAACACTTGGCAATAAATCAAGAATTTAAAACGTGTATATGACAATCAAAAATAAATTTCACAATATTTTTCATTTTTACCCAAAGTTACCTTGAATGCTTTGGGAGGCATTTCTCTGGTAGCTGCCAGAGTATTGTTTACCTCAGTGGGTGTGGACTGTTCACAACTATTCAGTGTAGAGCAGAGGTCTCGGACCCCGGTCCTCGAGCTCCGGTGTCGTGCGACTTTCTACACCTGAATACAATTAGTAGGTCATTAGCAAGACTCTATAGAACTTGACTGCACACTGAGGTGGCAGCTCAGCCATTTGATTCATGTTGCAGCAGCTCATGTGTGAATGAACAATAAAAGTGCTTTTAGAAGTACATTTTTCCAAACACTTACTTAAACTTACTTGAGTAGGGTTAGGGGTCGCCACCTCAGCATGCAGCCAAGTGCTATAGAGTCTTGCTAATGACATGCTAATTGTAACAAGGACACATGGAAAAGTTTCAGGACAGTGGCCCTCGAGGACCGGAGTTTGAGACCCTGCCATCGAACATACATTCCTGGCAGGTATTAAATCTCGAGTTGGTCGTGTGACTGTTGTCTGTGTCAGCGACACACCGTTGCGTGATCACTGACGGTGATGAGTGTTAGTGTCTGTGATATCCAGTGTTGCTCAAGTTAGTAAGTAATTAGTTACTAATTACTGATTACTTCTCCAAGAAAGTAATCCCGGTACTTTACTGATTACTTATTTTCAAAAGTAATTAGTTTCATTACTTGCCTTTTATGAATGTGTTACACAACCTGAATACGTAATAAAGCAACAGACCTTTCAGCCCAATTCTACTTTTTCTGCATAATCCATCTTTCACCGTCATACTGGAGCTGCTAACATAAAGTAGTGTAAGTGAGAATGTGAGGGCTGTACCGGTGGGAAAAACAACCTGCTTTGGATTCCTGCATTCAAAGGGAGTGTTTTCCAGGTCTGTTTCCATTGCATTGTTTTTCAACGGACAACAAAGATGGCACAGAGACATTCAGCAACACAAACTCAAGTCCATATCTGACGACCTGTCCGTTCATGTTTTGGAGATTATCATCATTTTATCAGTTTGTGGATGCCTTAACAGGTGTGCCGAGAAAACGTAGCCAGCTGTTTGATGATCTGTGTGATCTGCATATATTTGTTCTTGATTGTGTCCACACAGTGTCTCTGCCTCCCTCACAGACTCTTGTCTCCACCCGGTTTCCATCACATTATTCTGATACTAAAATCTTTGTCTGCTTAAAAAAAGTCATTTCACATTTTATTAAAAATTGTTCAGCTTTTTTTTTTTTTCCGTTTTGTGCTTTTAGTAAACCATTGGTGGTGTTGTTGTTTTTTCTTTATATTTAGAGTATTTTATCTTTTAATGTTTTTGTTAATACTGTCACCCTATGGTAGCTGGGACAGACGTGAGTGAGTGAGTGAGTGAGTGAGTGAGTGAGTGAGTGAGTGAAATATAGGAGCGTGAGACTAACAGGAGTGACCTCCACCTCTGCTGTTAACTCCAGTTTCAACGTTTCTCCTCAGTCGAAAGCAAAAGGAGAATCAGGCACTTTGTAATACACATTAGAAGTTCAGTGGGGCAGCGATTAGCCTCACAGCAAGAAGGTCCTGAGTTCAATTCCACAGTCCAAAGACATGCAGTTAATTGTTATTCTTTGTCCTTCTGTAATTGTAACCCTCAGAGAGCCTCTCAGTCTCGCTGGTTGTAGTTGTAGATCTCAGTTAGAAACCTTCTTTGGCAAATTGAAATTCACACCCATTCTCTCTGTCTGTTTAAAGTTGAATAATTAAGCTGCTTACCAATCAGCCACGCCTTTGCTGCTTTGTTCCCTGTCAGGCCTTTGGAGACACTCAAGGTCTTTCTCAGACTGGCTTTGCCATCAGCAGTCAGCAGCAGCCCAGATCAGCTTGTGGTAAGTTGTGGCTTAGATGACTTTTCACACATCTTTTCAAACTGCCTGCTGCTCCTCAAAAACACACTTTGGAGCTCAAGTTCCAAACTGTGAATATTTAATGTTCATGTTATATTTTTCCTTTTTATTTTAAATAAATTTGCAGGAATTACAGTAATTATGAGGTATCGTTTATAGACTTGTGAGAATTTTTCTCCATTTTGGAATAAGGCAGTATGATTAAATGGGAACTGTTGAATCTCCAAATACTTTCCAGATGTACTGCACACTGGAGCCTGGATGGTCAACCCTTCCTTTTACTTTGCCAGATGGAAACTGTAAAAGAAGTCATGTTCACAGAGAAAACTTTCTAAACCAGCCGTATATAAGTACAGTAAAGCTCACTGTCTGCTCAGTGAGGCTCAGCAGGTGGTGCTACACTTTTCGTTTGTCACTTCAATCAGCTGCTCTATGTTGTGTTTCAGCTTCCACCTCCAGCACTCAGCAGAGACAGAGCTCGGCATCGAATAACATCCCACGGATGTCTACATCCACTTCCACCCTGGTTCTGAAAGGCCCCAACATGGCTCCACATGAGCACGCTGTGTCACTTTCCTACCCCCATGGCAACATCTCTCCACAGAGACTCTCTCTGACAGACACTATCTTACAGTGAGCTAACACTGCTCCATTCACAGAACTCAGATTTATCTTTACTCGACACGTAAGGAAACCAAGGTTTCGGGTCAGCGTTTACAGCGTTTGCAGCGGCCACTATGGATCATTTTGTCTTAAATGTTGTAATCCGGTACTGTCAGTATCAGAAAGCCCCAAATCCTTAAACTAACATCCATCACACAGTTAAATACACAATAAACATTTGCCATACCCTTCACAAGGACTATTGTTATTTTCATCAAATCTCTGTGTTTATATGTACAAACCTTCACTGTATCCTTTAACATATCAATACTGAACGTGCAGCTAGACTGGATCATCCCAACTGATACAAGACTGCCAAATCACAACAGTGTTTATAGTGTAAGGCAAATACTGTAACCTCAACAGTAGGATGATCCCTTTAAGCAAGCACTCTAATAGGAGGAAATGAGGCTCAGGGTGGGCAGCCATCTGCTGCGACCAGTTTGGGAAGAAAAGAGGAAGACGGGACAAAGGACATGCTGTGGAAGAGAGCCAGAGATTAATAAGTAATGATTAAATGCAAAGTGGCGTATCAATGCCAAAAAGTGAGTGAAGAAGAAACATTTAGGCCTATTGCAGCATAACTAAGAGGACTCAGGGTCACCTGATCAACCCTAAATACGTGCTTTATCTAAACTGAAAGTCTGAAGCCTAATCTTAATAGTAGAGAGGGTGTCCATCTCCTGAATCCAAACTGGAAGCTGGTTCCACAGAAGAGGCGCTTGAAAGCTGAAGGCTGATCCCATTCTTCTTTTAAACATCCTATTTAGGACAGAGGACAGTAACCTTGTTTTATCTGAATTTAGAAACAGGAAATTGGAGGTTATCCACGTGTTTAATTACTTTAAGACATTCCTGTAGTTTAACTAATTGTTGTGTGTTATCTGTCTTCATGGACAGATAAAGCTGAGTATCATTTGCATAGTGAAAACATATGTCTTTTAATGATACGGCCTAGGTTAAGCATATATAACTTAAACAGAATTGGTCCTTGTACACAACCCTGTGGAGTCTGTATAGGATTCCCTATTTATATGGACAAACTGGAGTCTGTTAGATATGATTCAAACCACTGCAGCACAGTATTTTAATTCCTAAAGCATGTTCTTATCACTGTAATAATATATCATGGTCAACAGTATTGAAGCTTTAGTTAATGGTAGGACTTCAAAGACATGTAAAGTAATTACAGAAGTAATTACTGTAAGTAATAATGTGTTTGTACTCTGTCTTTGCTGAATGACGTGTGCCTGATAAATGAAGGTATGAAATCCAGACGTGTTATTGACTCACATTTATTTATTCTGGTTAAACAGATTTTGTTTTCCATTTTCATCATCTTAAAATCTTAATATGTTAACTTTCACTGGTTAGTAACATTTGGAAAACATTTATTCAGACACAGAACGAATTAAAAGCAAATGGCCAGCCTTCATTCTTATTCCCGTTGATGTATATGACTGTTTTAAAAAGTGAGACCAAACATCTACACAACTTCAATATTCAAAAAATGGAGACTTTGATCATTTGGAAAAGCTGTAGAGCTGCAGCATACACACACATAGTTTATCCGTTTAGCCGCTGATAATCTTGTTGGAGATGGCTCCGGGTAGTGTGTAGAAGAGCAGGGCAAGGAACAGCGCTGTGATCAGCAGAATGATGCCGATGATGATGTACTTCTTGTAGCTTCGCCACACCAAGTGAAAGAAACATTTGAAAGGGTTAACGAACCACGAGAAGGAGGTGTCTGGACGACTGCGGGAAAGAGGAGAAAAGCAAATGAAGTGGTTTAGTTCATTACAGATTCTTACAGGCTGAGATGATTACGATGCTTTAGCAACCCTGAATGGGTCACCTGAGAAAGTGTCTAATGTTACGACATTAAAAACGTGATTCCAGAAATCATAACGGCGTCCTGGTGCATCCAGATGATGTGCATTATAAACTGACGGCATTTTCATATTAAATACTAAGGTTAAATGGAACAGCTCAAGTGGGAGAGGGATTTTATTGTGGCAAATTAAACCAGTGAATCTCCTGTGTCTGAAAATTAAAGCATATGAGTAATAAGACTAAAACTTTGAATGGAGCAGCTCTCATTTATAGAAACCAAACTGTGAACCCCTGAAAACATGACTTCATTTGGACCAGAAACCTCTCTGCAGCTTCTCTCCCACCATAACAGCCTCACAGACATCGTGTCTGCTTCCAGACAATAAAAAAATCAAACAAACCCGAGCAAAAATTACTAAAAAGATAAATGACTCGAGCATCAAAAAGTATAGAATAGAAAAGAATAGAATACATAAGAGAAAGTAATATGATATCCTCAACTGCACCAAAAAGTAAATGAGTAAAATGTGGATCTAGTGTTGTGCAGTCTCTGGTCTGGGTGCATCTGCTCGTGTGTTATTGTTCTCTTGTAAATGAGATTACACCTGGATTGATCTTTGGGAACAGGCCGTTTATTCTCTCTATATCTATGTGTGCATTGATGCACACATAGATATAGCTCCAGGTTGGGGGGTTGACTCTGTATCCAGTAAGGACCCCCAGGCTAGAGCAGGGCGATATGGCCAAAAATATTTATCAGATATATATTTGAAAATTTGCGATAACGATATAACTGACGATATAATTGATGCGAGACAAAATACAACTCCACAACATTACTAGCGCAAAAAGACAACCTTCCATTTATTTTCACTTAAACAAGAAGCTGGTTTTTATGTACATTAAAGCTTTATAAAAATGTAACAGTGCAAATGCAAATTCCTTGCTGAAAGTTTAACCAAAAGGCATTTCCAGTAGAAATGGGCTGACATATCCTGAGCATAACCATGTATAATATCCACTGAAGTTAAAAAGAGGTGCTTTGCAACATTAAACTGCAGTGTGCAGTACGTATTTTTCGGACCATAAGGTGCACGGGATTATAAGGCACATTAAGCGAAACAAAGCAGTCAGATAAATCAAACTTTATTAAACTCATTCTTCTTGCTTCCTCCACTTCTGTACCATTGATTCATTAATGTTGAATTCTCTGGCAGCTGCTCTATTCCCATGTTGTTGCAGTATATTAATGACTAACCTTCGTATTGTGGATGGATTATCTCAGTTGTTCTCCTGACTTAAGTTTGGTCCGTTTACAGCATCCTGCCATGCGATTGCATTTGTCTCTAACTATCAGGCACGTTAACTTTTTAAGTGGAAAAGTGTTGTGTTCGTCCTCCAGCTTCACTGTTTGTTATGCTAACATAGCTGTGTTCGCTAGCGATCACGTAGCACATCATTATATACCAGCTAGCCCACACTTCAGTAACCCTACAAACGTCACTGCTGTTTAGTTTCCTGTCTTCATTCTATGTTGGAAGTGATAGCAGAGCTGTACGTTTGAATTTTTCTCAGAAATCTCTGTCAGAACATGCTATATCATGCTTAGGTAACTAGCGAAACTAGCGAGCTAACTTCCGCTAGCTTCCTGCTAACTTCTAACTCCGTTAAATGTAATAACTTTTGTTTTCATGGATGCCTGGAAGTTAAACTTCATAGTTACACCTGGTAAAGCAGCAATGCTGATCGTTTTATTAAAGATTAAAGAATTTAGACAGTTTTTAACTCTAGGTGATGCTGCAGTGTTCGTTTGCATACGGAGTTTAGGACCCAGATTACTCCCAGATTTAAGAGCATCTTAGTCCGACAAATACGACAATAACGACGGCCGCTTGCATGTTCTGCAAAAAAAAAAGTGCTTTGTGTATCTGACGGACAAACACCAAACCAGTTCCACATCACTGAAGTTGCACCATTTTTACAAACCAATTCTGGTTCATCTGTTTCACTCAACAATCGGCCATGTGCGTATGAAAACAAAGGCACTGCGCATGCGCGTTTTACTCATATTCTATCGCGATATTTCATTTTCCTATCGTTGCCTAACTTTATACCGGTATTATCGTGAACGGTATAATATGGCCCAGCCCTACCCCAGGCTACCCAAATATTGTTATTGAAAATGTGTAAATGTACCTCAAATTTACAGAAATGTCCCTGTATTCCTTTGCCATAAATTAGATTGTATTCTGACAGATAAACAGAGCCTTGTGTGGTTATGGTTACTTTGGTTTTGGTAGTGGCTCTGGCTCCTTGCGGGCACGGCCAACAGGATTTTTCTCCGACTCCTCAGCTGTCACAAGATGGAACTCTGCTTCCACTTTCCCCTGGAGAAAGATTGATTGTTTGATGATCTGTATTTGCCTGACTTTATTTTTACATTTGTTTATACACTGCATGTGTGTGTTACTGTGTACTTACGGTCAACTCTCCTGACTTGGTGAAGGGCCACCAGCCTCGTGCTCTCTTCTGCTGAAAGATGGAGATTCTCTCAGTCCCATCTGTCAGCATGTCCGCCTTACACAACTTGGCTGTTTTAGCTCCCCGAGTAAATCCATGGAGGTCTAATTCTAGTGTGCCTGCAGACACACAGTCAGTCAGGTGCACTGCTGTGTTTTATGCAGCCAACACCAGAATCTCTGAATCTCTTTTGTCAAGTTGTTTTTGCCTTCATTCAAGTCATGCACATTTTATCTCCATTATTCATCCTGACTCTCCAGTGCGACTTCTAATACTTTTTGCCATTAAAGATTGTCTTAGAAGGTTTGTCATGTCTTCATGTTTCTTCTGCTTTCAGTGCTTTAAACATTTAGCACCATCTTCAGGTTTTGGGGGTAATTGTTAATAGTTAGCAGGAGTAGTCTTCCTGAATTTCTGCTGTTTCCTGTCCTCCACAGGAATGATTCAAGCATGCTCCTTATACGTTCAAATTGGCAATATGTCCCTGTATTTAATGCCATTATAGCAGCATTTCCCTGAACACAATGCAGTAACACTTTCTATTCTTCAGTGATTGTGAACTAAAGGTGCATCGGGGCACATCACTGTGAAAGAACAGCTCTGCAGCAGAGACATTGAGCTGTTAGCCGTTAAAATGTGTCTGTACTACCTGCCCCGGGAATTCTCGCATGTTATCGCGATAACAGCGTAGCCCCCCCCCCCTCAGCCAATGCGGATGCAGCCTCTTACTCCACTCTGTGGTCAGCAGACTGCAAACGCAATCTCTGAGAGCCCTTTTTGAACATCTGGGGACTATATTGCATCACTGGACTCAACACTGCCCACCTTCACCCAGTATGTGACATGGCCCACCAGAGACAATAAAACATTGGACTTACTGTATGCCAACGCAAAAGAGGCATACAGTTTATCACCTCTGCCACCCCTGGAAAGATCTGATCACAACCTGGTGCACAGGGAGCCACCAGCCACCCGCACAGTGCAGAGATGGTCGGAGGAGAGCGAGGAGGCTCTAGAAGATTGTTTTGAGTCTACTGTGTGGGAGGTGCTTTGTGACGACCACAGGGAGACTCGCAACTTTCAGCCTTTTCGCGGCCTTGAACCTTACTGCAGGCTCTTTCTTGTCTTCTTCTTTCCTATCTGTCCAATAACCAGTCCGTTTAGCATAGTGAAGTCAAACTCAGGACCTTTTTTGTGACGCAGCAGTGCTAACCACTGTATCACCTTAGTATTTTATGTTCATCAGTGAAATGTGTGTGTATAATTGCCTCTCCGTGTGAATAGGCACTTATGCATACCCACCTAGAAAGTCGTCAGAGGAGAGTGTCTCAAAGTCCCAGACCTGCAGAATGAGGATAGCAGGAATCTTCTGCTCTGTTTTATCTAGAGAGAAAATACTCTCTCTCTTCCTCACCACCACTACCTGTGAGAGGTAAAGTTGGTAACGATGTGATTCTGTAGCAGCTATTTTATCTACATCAGGCTTGGAGCTGGAGCTCCTAGGACCAAAGATCACACAAATATGAGTACCTTTTCAGCAGGCAGGTAGCTGAAGGGGAACACGAAGCGCCAGTTGAAGTTTCCTTCTCCAGTCAGAGAGTTGTAATGCACATCAGTTTCTTGTCGGTCATCTTCTAAACCTTTCAGCCAGCTACAACGGTAGATTTGGTAAGGTGAGAGATTTTCTAGCAGTGCTTTTTATATAAAGGTTTAGCTAGCTAGTTTAGCTTTTTGGGCTGCAAGGCGCTAACGTGTTGACACCGTGCAGCCCTCACACGATCCACGTTAACTCGCTAACAGAGATATATTCAGTACATTCAATGTGCTGTTCAATAAGGAATCAGCCAAGCTTACACAACAGACAGCAAACGTCACTTTAGTTTGGGAATTATTATTTCCAAAGCTAAAAAAAATATTTATATTGCCAAAAAATACCAGGAACAAATAGATTTTTTTACCCCTTGATGTAAATATCACTGAACTGTTGACCAGTGAGGAAGTGGCTGTCCTCCAAAATGACGTCCTCTGTGTTCCAGATGATAATACGCAGCTCGTATCTGCACAAACACATCTGAGTTTGAATGACTGCATCCCAAAACAACGTTGACAGACATTGTTTTATTACGTTTTGGTAAGTCTCACCCTTTTGGTTTTCGAGGTGAAATGTCCACTGGAGGTCCTGGATGTGGCAGGTCCATTGGAAACATGTCTACCCACATCTGGACCTGACCCTACATGTACATGCACACAGATGTAGGCAGTTGACCCAGAAAACCCAGAAAGCTTAAAGGTTGTAAATGCATGAATAACGATTATTTTTTACCAGGATACTAAACTCAAACATACCTGGTCCATTCCAGGCCGGGCCTTATTAAACAGAGTTCTGGTCTCAATGTGCTCTGGTACCAGTGTGCATCCTACACCTGGGATCTCAGCCCAGCGGTGTAGGATCTTCAGTGACAAGTGTTCATAGGACTCCACTGGCTCGTCTGAGGGATACACACGACAATGTCAAATCAGACTCCTATATACATATTCTAGCTCCAGCATATTTTCTTGATCTATACTATCTTTCCCCACAGTGTTGGATCATAGGGATCGAGTGATTGACTCATGCAGTAAATGTCTGAATACTGTTTCTAAATGTTAAGTTAAAAAAATAATCATGCAGCTGATCTAGAATGCCCTATATCTACCTTCATGCATGAAGAGCGTTTTGCCAGTGAAAACCTTCTCTGACACAATGATGCGTCCTGGACTGAAGTGAGGACCGTCCAAACCGCTCTCTCTGCACATCTTTGCCAACAGCTCTGATGGCTTCAAACAGTCTCTCCAGGCATTGTAACCCTCACTGACAGACAACAAGGAAGGAACAGGAAACGCTTCAGTGCGAGGGATTCATAGAATGCAGAGTTGTAGATGGATATAAATGCCTGGAATTTCTACTCCTTTAGTTGAATTTGGTAGTTTAATGTAATAGAAAAAAAGTAATGTAACTATGAGGTAGGATAGTAATTTATTGAAGTGACCAAATGGAATAAATAACTCGGACTTTGATCTGAAAGAGTTCAAACGTCCAGGCTTACAGACTATACTCAGCAGGGAGTCCACAGGTGCCTCTGTGTTTGCTGTAATATCGGTTCTCAAGGTCAATGCGGGTCTCTCCAATCAGATCGTCCCCTCCCACCAGGTCGTGGTCATAGATGAACACTGACAGCAGAGACTCCTGAGGAAGTGTTGCCTGCATCTCAAAAGATCTGGAAGAAGGAGAATAGAAGAAGTCATATTTAAAATGTGAGACAATTCCTGAGAAGCTTTACCAGTTATTTACCTTCCAAAAACAGGGTTTAGCTGTTTGGGAATGTAGTTGTCTCTGTCTTTGATTTCATTTTTGCCAAGTCGTAGAACAATGTAAGGGTCCGCCTTCCCATCCGGGTCAGCTGGGTGCAGGTTAGAGGCCTGGAAAGAGAAGGGGTATCATAAAAGAACTCACAAACAAGGACTAAAACTAGTACTTTTAACGGCACTATTTGTAAATTATTCTGTTTACTTTTTTTTAAAACCTTCCATTATAAAATATGCTATAGTTCAAGATGTCTGCTGCTTATTGTTATTATTTCAGCTGCTCCTTTTAGCATGATCAACAGGCAAGTGTAAGAGATGTTCATGCACAGGAAGGGGAGAGTACAGTCCTCCTTTAGGTAACAAGGGACTGGGAATCAGGGATTGACCTTTTGTCTGAGTGTAAATCTTGAGGAAGACTGTGCGAGACATCCTCCCGCCCTCGCTGTGGTGTTCACAGTCGGGCTTTTGTGGTTGTCAAGTGTTGCAGTGCTTGTTTGGGCTGTAAGGACAGCCTATATTAAAGTACTGGTTGCTTACGAAAAGCTCAGTTTGAAATGTAATTAGGTGCTTTGCTACAGCTTTTAATGAGCTTGGTGCTGAATGCTATTTGGCCTCTGAATATGACACCAGATGGGTTTAACAAATGTGGTGACAGTTTTAACGAAGGTACTTTTGTGTAATACCAGTTTCCATCACAGAGTGGTGCAGCTAGTCAATGAGCCTAAAGGAATAGAGGTCCTAATGTGATTGGTCGCTTTCAAAACAGTCTGTGATGGACGGGTTCAGTGTTAAATGGAGTTAGGCTGCAGGAGTAACATAGGCGCTGTTTTAAACTGCATTTGTTTGAAAAATGAAGCTTTGAGAACAGAGCTGATGTGAGAGCCTGAATCTCTGGCATCACTCGCACAGCAGGCTCTCACATGTGTGATGGCTTCCTTGAAAACTCAGGCTGCTGAGTTCTCCAGGAAGTTAAATTTAATTATGTGGCAGTCAGAGATGGGCAGTCTGATTACTTTTCTCAGGTAATGTTCACTCTGTGTGGGAAGAAAACTTCCTTCTACAGAGAAAAATTAAACTTCAAATCTGAGCGAGCAGCGAGCACGCTGCCATGGGAATGTGACATCCACAGAGAAACCCCCGGACCCCCCCACTGACATGACTGCTGTTGGCAAGCCTCCACCCACCCCAATAGACAATAGATTTAAGAGCTGCTGAATGTTTGATTTGGCTTATTTTTGCTGTGTTTTACTTGCATCTATTTGAAAGAGTGTAAACACAAAAAATTATTTTATGGAATATGCAGAAAATAGGTTTAAATGTTAGAGAATTTCTTCAAGTCAAAGACTGTTGCATATAATTACATTTTTGCTTGATGCAATGTGCATAAAGGTAAAAGATTAAAACTCATGAAACAATTTTTAAAAGGAGACTTTTTCATTGGATTACATTGTAAACGATGGATTATGCAGAAAAATAGAATTGGGCTGAAAGGTCTGTTGCTTTATTACATATTCGGGTTGTGTATCATGTTTTTTAAAAGTAACTAAGTAACTAATTACTTTTGAAAATGAGTTATCAGTAAAGTAATGGGAATACCTTTTGGAGAAGTAATTAGTAAGTAATTACTATTTCTAAGTAACTTGACCAATACTAATAATAATTTGCTTGTCATTATGTTTTTTCTTGCATGCGACTTTTGACATAGTTAAGTCTGCAGAAGCACTTTGAGAGCAAAGGCAGACGTGTAACTATACATCCAGGAAGTGCTTTCAATCAGGTCCACACAGGAAGGAGCTAGACCAGTTTAAACCTCTAGTGTTGGTGTTAGGCGATGTACTAACTGCTGTATCACGTCAGCCTCACTAAACGCTGCTCTTTTTGTTTCTCAGTACAATGGAAAACTATTCTACAACTTTCAAGTAAAACATTCCAAAGAGAACTCAGCAGAAAATTCCCATGTGAGCAGGACTCACACAGACAATGTAAACCCGTATGAGAACTTGGACTGGGCTGTTGGGAGGGATTCCTCTGTTGACTCTGAAGCTCCCAGCATCTATTGCTTCATGCCAGTCCTCCTCCTCCTCCTCAGCGAGCTTATAGAGGCAGAATCGACCCTAAGAGACAGCATGAAGATTTATGTGTAGATATGCTAGTTGTTGAGCAGTACCAAAGTAGTACCCGCAAAGAACATTACTTAGTATCTCACCTTAAATTTTCCAACAAACCTCTCCTCATTTGATCCCTCTTCCTCACTGGCTTTCCCTCGGAACAACTCGTATGTTTTCACCCAGTCATCAAAGGACCCAAACTCTGACTCCAACTCCTTGTTGTACAGCTGCAGAGCCAAGATCAGACTCACTCAAGCTTTTCTTTCTAGCATATGGTACCCCTTTTAATCTTTGGTTGGATAGTAAAAGCATAACAGGGCCCAGTAAACCTGTATTGTATCATCTCTGAAAAAAATTACCTTGAGTGTAGCTAATTTGGTATGAGGGCTGATGCTCGTTCCCTTTACTTTCTGTTGCCTCTTCTTCTTATCTCCATCGGACTGGCTGCTGACTGATGAAATAGACAAGGCATATTTTCAAATGTGAAAACTAAAGGCCCAAACACAGCAGAAATCATATTGAAAATGTGACTACAGTATTTAACAGCAGGTAACAAAGTGAGCCACCGAGCTTAGTTAAGAAGTGCCATGCCCTGAGCTCAGAACTGTCCTATTCACCAGAAGCAACAGTTCAAATGTTGTCTGTTATTTAACGACATTTGCAGTCATTCTCTTGCAGGGTTTTTCAGAAGAACTTGTCAAATCTTTCAAATGCTGCCATCTTAAATATCCAGTCATACCAATCAGATCATGCAGTGAGAGGACCGCATCCAGTAACATCATAAACTAGCCAAAACACAGCTGCTAAAACCTGTCTGCAGGATCGTAGCACCAAAACCAGACAGTTCCCAGAACCTCAACTCCCAGAAAGTAAAAATGACCCTCAATGACACGGCGTTGTATCTTTTTTCAAATCTTTTTGTCTCTTTTTTTGCAGATCTTAATCCTTACCCAAAGATTCTATTCCATCGCTGAGCAAGTTGTGGTACGACAAAGCTGCAATGCACAACAGTGTGTGTGGGTCAGTGGGGAGAAAAGGGGTGATTATTTCTAAAACCAGTGCGTACCAATTGATATTTCCCAATTTCATGATTTTTAGGTTATCGCAGAAAACAATACTTTGACACCAAGTCTTTGACACATTATCATTTATTTGTCTCTTTTTATGTTATTATAAAGTATCACAAAGCGATCCCGGTCTCATGGCTTAAGCTGGAATGTGAACAGTTCTCAGCTGCTGGGAGAATTTAGCTCATGCTGATACAAAGATAAGCTTCTGCCCTGAAGCACAGGCAGTTTATGGGGCCAACCGTGTTACACTTTTGGAGCCAGAGTCTGTCCACTAGTGACTTGAGGTGGAGTTGCTGTGTTGAACTCCCACCCAGCGGACGTAACTGCAAACACAACCCCTGCCCCTGCCTGGCTGCTCCAGTTTGAATGATTTCTGCTATTGGTTTTATCGCAACTATTTTTAAAAAGGCACACAGCTTAAAATCAGTCAAAATCAGTGTCAGCAGCTTAGCTGCAGTTCACACGTTTCATTGTTTTTAATATTTTGTTTCACTTCAGCTCTTAGTATGGTATAACTTCGCTCTCTTCATGATGGCTGGCTCACGGTTTTTTCCCCTCTCCTGTTTGGAAATGTATCAGAATTGTTGTCTGAAGGTCAAAAAATGCCCAACAGATTTACTTTCCCAAGTGGACCATTTGCTATAATGGTCTACTTGATAGTCATATTTTGTTAGAACTTTTAGGATTTTTGAGGCATTACAAATTTAAATTGAGATTAAACTGGAAACGGAGAAACCAGGCTACATAAAGAGTTCCACGACTCCACCTCAAGTCCCCACTGTGCAGACTCCAAAAATGCAACATGGTAGCACCTAGAAACTGAAAATGTTGGCTTCAATTTTGTGTTCTCATTTTTTATATATGGTCCAGACACTTAAGATGGTGGGTCAAAAATACTTTTTCTCACAATCAAATCACAAGAAGAATGACTGAGAGTGGTTAGAGGCAATTTTCTGCACATTATTCAGTTCACACAAGGCACATTTCTGAAATTGTTCCTCGTCTATTGTAGGGTAAAGATCCTACAATACTCCAGGGAAAACCTGAACACTCAGACGATCAACTATGAGCAAGTACTTAGCAACGATGGAGAAACTCCTTTTCAATAGGAAGGAAGCACTGATAGAACTTTGGGAGGGGCAGCTCTGTTCTGCGACCGGTTGGGATGAGGGGAAAGAGAAGACAGCAGAGGGAGGCAGGACAAAAGGCACACTATGGGAGAGAGACAGTTTAATAATTACTAATATCGATGTAAACGTCCAGAAGTTGTCTGTAAACATGTGCAAAGTGAAAAGAGTGATCAGACCCCAACTATAAGCTTTTTATGCAAAATCTAGATACCATTATCCTGAATCCAAACTGGGAGAGAGGAGAGGTATCTTATAAGATTGAGTTTTTACCCAATTTGATAATTTCAGATTTTTCAATTTTCCCAAATTTTGTAAACTGTGTCACTCACACCTTGCAAAATAGGGAGCCGGTCCTCTAATACTGACCCTTGACCCTGAACAAAACACAAGCAGCTGCTCAAAAAGCACTGATCATATGTACCTTTGGAGACCTCAGAAAATGGAGAGTTGTCCCGTCGTTTGATCTGGAACATAATCAGGGAAGCATATGTTCACATTACATTTTAAAATTACTTAAATAATTGTTTGATCTTTTTAGACAACAGCCCAGCAATCTTAGATACCTCTCTCTCTACTGAGGCGTAGTATTTGGACCACCAGTCGATGACACTCTCAGCTGATTCATCTGCGATAGTCCGCTTCCTGCGTTTGGTGGAACGACTACGGGTGGACTTTGCCCTGCTCTCCTGGATTTAAAACATGTATACATATTTGAAAAATGTATAGAGAGCAGTTTATGTGACTGACAGAAACATTTTTTATTGTGTGAACTAACTATCATCTTCTTCTTCCTGGCTTCTTGCTTAGGAATGGGTGGAGCAGGTGGTGGAGCGGGTGGTAGGGGTTCATCCTCTACAGTGATCCGGAAATCTTGGTTAGCCACTGCTACAGCCGAACTAGTCTCTGGAGAATCCTGTGACCGTCCTGGTGGACAAGAGGCAGCTTTCAGGATGCTGTCATGTGAACCTACTATTGAAAATGTCCTCAAAAGAAAATCTTTGTGGAAAGAGGGAATCGGACAAACGGCACATGGACACATCAGGTAATTCAGTCTGTCTAGGTTGACCAAAAAGGGTATTTCTATTACGTGAACCACAGTCTAATTGTCCTTTAATTAAAAATGAATTAAGTAATTATTCATTAAGCAAGTTGTTAATCTAGCACAGTCCTTATGCGTGCTTTGTACAAGAATGGTCAGTTCTACAGGAAAATGTAGTGGCTGCTTTTGACCCTCTACAGCCATCAGTGGAAATAATTGCATTGTTGTTGTTGTTGTTTTTACCTCTTTATAGTCATTTTGTGGTTCATTTGTATTCTTTATGTACTTTTGTGTCAGGTGATCTTTTCCAAAGTCTCAGCAAAATACCATCCTCTGCAAGACTGCCACTGTTCTCCATAATGCATATGGATCATAACTAGTTGAATTAATATGCATGTCATAACCAATAATTATGTAATGAACAAATACACACACTAGCATTACCCTCAGCACTGTGTGGCTCTACTGTCATGGCAGGTCCAGGGGTGCTGATGTCTTTGGGTGGTTTGTGTGTCTGTGTGGGTGCAGGAAGGGCTGGAAGTGGAATCGGTTTGAAAGCTTTGAGGTTGTTGATGATGTGGTTCCCAACAAGCGTACTGCGACCAAAAGCACGCCAGTCAACAACCGTGATACTGAGCGGAGGATGGAGATGTTCATTTTCTGGTAACTCCTACAGAACAGTAACAGAGTGCAGGTTTTTAAGTTGTACACAGTTCCACAGTTGTGTTTTTCACAAATTCAGTCGATGCAGAAATAGGTCAGTATTTCCTCATCACAGCTGATTCAATTTACAGACCACCAAGTCACACCACCTGTCACCTCAAGACACTTTATATTGGTAAATACCCTTCAACAATAGAGAGAAAACCCAACAGTCCTGTCGTGCTCTCTGGCTCCAGGTTTTGAGATTTGAGGTTTCTTCTGTATTTTAGACCATTGTGGTTCTTTACTATGTGCTGTTGAAATTTAACCTTGTGTTTATGTGCTTGCTCATAGGGAGTCATTTGTTGGGGTTTTCACTCTATTGTGTAGTTTCTTTCCTTACAATAAAAGTGCCTTGATGGGATTATTGTTATATACATAACATAAATAAAACTGAATTGAATTCCTTGTAAATGTGCCTTTAACTTTAATTTGCTGACGTCGACTGAGAAAATTGTCAGGCGGTGGAAGGAATACTTCGAGGACCTCCTTAATCCC